GCGACATGGCCCACCATCCCACCTTCCGGAAAATCTACTGTGATGCTGTTCCTTACCTGTTCAAGAAGGTGAGGCCAGCTCTGGGGCCCCTTCCCCTTGATCATGGGTCCAATCCAGGCCTTAGGCCCTGGCCCTCCCTGTTCCCTTCCCAGGCCTCTGGCAGGAGAGGCCTGCTCCCTCCGCCCTGCACTTGGGCTGTCCCAGGTGCCCCAGCTGTCCCGTTCCTTTAAGGTTCGCGCCGTCTACACAGAAGGCGGTTGGTTTGAGGAGGGGATGAAGCTGGAGGCCATCGACCCCCTGAATCTGGGCAACATCTGCGTGGCAACCATCTGCAAGGTGAGCCTGTGGCTGCCTCAACCTCCAGGCGGCTCGGGGGCGGGAGCTGGTGCAGAGCCCTCACTCCGTGTCCACCACATTCCCGGCTGCCTGCTCCTGGAGCCCGGAGTTCCGTGAGCTCCCCACTGAGAACACAGTGGCACAAAGACAGACGTGGGCCCTGTGGGCACGGACTGCTGTCCAGTGAGGAGGGTCAGTAATCTCCAGCACAGGCTTCGAGTGCCGTGGCTGGAGCAGCAGCTCAGGGGAGCCATGGCCTCGTGTCCCCACCACAGCCACCTTGCCCTGGGATGGGGTGCAGCTCATGATACCGTGTTCTCTGGGTACCCCTCTCGACCACCCCAGGTTCTCCTGGATGGCTACCTAATGATCTGTGTGGACGGGGGGCCCTCCACCGATGGCTCGGACTGGTTCTGTTACCACGCCTCCTCCCACGCCATCTTCCCAGCCACCTTCTGCCAAAAGAATGACATTGAGCTCACACTCCCAAAAGGTAAGACTGGCCTGACCAGGCTACAGGCACCCCTTTGGCTGGTGCTCCCTCCTGGACTCCTCCCACTCCCCCTCCTCCCACTCCCCCTCCTCCCTCCACATCTCCTTCTGCTCCTCAGGCTACGACACACGCACTTTCAACTGGGACACCTACTTGGAGAAGACCAAGTCGAAAGCAGCTCCATCGAGACTCTTTAACATGGTGAGGAGACTGAGGACTGGGCACCCGGGTGGCCTCGGATTGGCCCTGCCCACTGTCAGCGAGTATCTGCTGCTGAGATCAGCCACTTCCGGGGAGAGGGCCCCGCTCCGACACAGGCACCGCGCCCCAATAGTCCAGCGGTCCCTTTCCCGCAGGGACTGGTGCTTGGGCACAAAGTACAGGGGGGCCATTGGTCAGAGGGACCTTCCCCTGCAGGCACTCACCACTGGGGCAGGGAGCTGGCTGGCCAGGTCACTGCCTTCTTCCTCCTCCCAGGACTGCCCCAACCACGGCTTCAAAGTGGGCATGAAGCTGGAGGCCGTGGACCTGATGGAGCCCCGGCTCATCTGCGTGGCCACGGTGAAGCGGGTGGTGCATCGGCTCCTCAGCATCCACTTTGACGGCTGGGACAACGAGTATGACCAGTGGGTGGACTGTGAGTCCCCGGACATCTACCCCGTCGGCTGGTGCGAGCTCACCGGCTACCAGCTCCAGCCACCCGTGGCCACAGGTCTGGGTTCTTGCAGCCCTAAGGGGCTCCTGACTTTCATTTTTCCTTCCTTCCAACCACGCCCCCTGCCCCATGCCCACCTCATTCTGTGGCATGAGATCGAGAAGTCTCCTGGCCCACCCTTGCTCCTGACTTCTCTGTCTCCCTTTCCCTCTGGCCTGCAGAGCTCCTTCCTTGATCTTGCCCACTCTGTCATATGCTCGTGCCCTTATGCACCCAGGTAAACTACCCAGGTCCCTCGGCGCAGCCCTGGTGACGAGGGTGGGAAGGGACAGCTGCTCTCCAGTCCCTCCCCCAGCCCCTTCCCCTTTCTCATGCCCAACTTTGGCTTTCCTTCTTGGGGTGTCCCGAGTGTCAGGGAGGCTATGAGGGGTGGGCAGGGGTCTCGGGATGTGCCTCTACCCTGTGTCCTCTCAGAACTCCTCCTCACCTCTTTTCCTTTTCTTTCAACAACAGAGCCAACCACACCTCTGAAGGCCAAAGAGGCCACGAAGAAAAGAAAGAAGCAGTTTGGGAAGAAAAGTAAGTGACGCTCTAAAGCTGCCTGGGCTGGTGTGGGACCCGGATCAGCAGGGCCTGTGGCGCTGGGAGCAGAGCTTGGGTGTTGTCACTTAGGTCGTGACGACGGTCCCTCCACCTCCTCCCCTTCCCATTTGGCCCCACGGGCCGTCATCCTGTCTTCCGTGACCCAGAGCAGAGTAGGGAGCCTTCAGTCCCTGGCAGTGGTCAGATGCCAGGAAAAGACAGGAGGTTGTATTTGAGAGCAGGAAGGGGAGGGAGGGGCCCTATGCTGCCCATGACAGGAACCGGCCCCTCTGCTGTGCTCAGCTGCTGGGAGTGGAAGTCAAGGTGCTGGAGGAAACGAAGCTGCTCCCCAGGCTGCCGGTCTTCCCTCTGCCCCCTCAGGGATGGGAGCAAGGGCAGCTGCAGCTTCAGGGTCACTTCCCAGGCGGCGCCACTCTCAGCAGGTCCTGAGTCCAGCAGGGGCTTGGCTCGGGGCAGCCGGTTGGAGGGGACAGGGCGTAGAGGACGGCGGTGGCGAGGTAGCCTCCATGACCGGCACCACCCAGAGAAGAGGTGCCCGCAGTGGGAGGCCGCTGAGCAGGATTAAGGTTGTGAGGGGCTCTGAGCCTCGGGCACAGGGCCTGAGGGGTGATGTCAGAAGTTCAGGCCAGTTCCCCTAAATCAGTACCGTCCCCTCTGCTCTGCTGCCCAGCCGCTGGATGAGATCCAACCTTCAAGCCTCACATGGATGTGACCCTAATGCTGGGTTTAATTCCGTTTTTATTCAAAGGGAAAAGAATGCCACCGACCAAGACGCGGCCCCTGAGACAGGGGTCCAAGAAGCCCCTGCTGGATGAAGACCCACGGGCCACAGAGAAGGTCTCGGCGGGGGCCGCTCCCGATGAGAGTAAGAGCCCAGGGCGGGCTGGCGGGCAGGGCTCAGGGGCGGCGCCTCTCCTTCCCCACCTGGCACAGAAGGGTACAGTCAATTTTGAAGGGAATTTTCTGGGCACCAAGCAGCCCTTCTCAGACCACTGGGCAGAAGAGCTTCCGAAACACCAACCCCCAGATCTGAGCGGAGCCAAGCCGCTCAGCCTGGCCTCTCCACCTCTGCCCACCTCGTGCTTGGCAGGGTGGGCGGCAGAGGGGCAGGTGCAGCGTCTCTGGCACAGCCAGCCTGGCGGGCGTGTGACGGGCCTGGGCCTTCTCCCACCTCATTCTGAGACCCCCATCTAGGGAGTGAGATCCCTTCCCCAGATCCAGAGCCCCCACCCTTCCCAGCGTTACATGCACAGCCTCTCTCTCCCCCCACCCCCACCTCCTCCCTCTCCAGTCATCGCTGTGCGTGTGAAGGAAGAGCATGTGGAAGCGGCCACGCCTGACAAGGCCCTGAGTCCAGAGCTGCCCGTTTCCATTGAGAACATCAAACAGGAGGCAGACGACTGAGCCGCCCCTGCTGCCAGCCTGGCCACCGGGAGGCCAGCGCAGGCTCCTCTGTCGCCACCTCCCTTCCACCCTCCTCAGTTTGGAGACTGAGCCTTTTTGCAGAAATACCGCCTGGTGCTGAGGGCCCGGCACTGAAGGATGAGCCGGGTCTCCTTTGACCTGCCTTGTGACCTCTGCCTGGGGGCTGCCTGGGGTCCCCACATGGTCGGAGTGGCTCCCTCTCCAGCTCCAGTTCCTGAAGCTCTGCCTCCCAGTCGCCCCTCCACACCCCTCAGCCGCCGGGGTTGCCGGGGTTGGGGGCTATGGCCACACTGCAAGACCCAACAGTGAAGTGTGCGTGCGCCTGTGTGTGCGGCCCGGCACGGCACCTAATAAAGGCTGCAGCCGCTCTTGAGGGGGAGGCCTCGCCCGGTTGGGGTGAGTGGTGTGATGGTCTGAACATTTTACCAAGTGGCCTGTCTTGCCTCCTGGGCTGTGCTCTTTCCTCCCAGCACTGCAGGGACAGCCATGTCTGTTGGGCAGCTGAGAAGCAGTGACCAGGATGCGGGTTTCAGTGGCTTGTGAGGCGTCCTTGACTTACGTTCCCTGTTGGCAGGAGCACCAGTTCCCATTTCTAAAAGGGCAGAGGTGGGGTGTGCTCCCTGCGCTGGGGGCTTGCAGGGACCTAGCGAGGGGAAGACCACGCCAGCCCGTGCCCCTGGGGGAGCAGCAGGTGTGGGGGCCCCACCTGATTGGGAGACGACCTCCAGCCTCGATCTGAACCTGCTCCAGAGGCCGGCTGGGCTGGGCTGGGGCCTGTCCTTGTCACTCCCCTTCCAGGGTCAGAGTCACAGGGCTGCGAGGGGAGTGTCAGTCCTGCTGGCGGAGGAGCCCGTGCAGGAGCCCCGGAAGCAGGGAGCAGGGGTAACAGGACACACTTCCTGGTTCCCTCTCCTCTGCTGTCCGAGCCCTTAACTCCTTAACACGGGTTTCGCTGCTCCTCTCGGAAATTACATTCTAGTTCACCTCCTGTTTGCCCAAATTAGTCTCCTTTGAAACTGTCTCCTTTCTGATCAATCCTGTCTCTTCATTCGCTCCCCTTTCTGGAACCTAAGGCGGAAGCTGCAGCCTCAGCCCTTTTCTTTCCTCTGCTGTGGGTAGGGAGCCGCACTGTCAGGGTCCACCTCTAAGGCGCAGCTGTGCTGGCCTGGAGTCCAGCTGCCGCCTGAGCTGGTCAGTCAGGCTGCTGTGGCCTGTGCTTGCCACAGGGGTGCTGTCTGCTTGCTGAGGGCCTGGCTATGGGGCGTCATCCCAGAGATGGGTGATCAGCCCAAGGGGAGCCAGTTTCCAGTCAGTGGAGAGAACGTGGTCTGCTCTCCTTTGCTGAAGGCATCAGGCAGCCCCACGTGGTGCAGAAACGAGCCCCAGAAAGCAGCTTGTTGGCGCAGCCTGATTTCTCCAAAAAGTGACTGATTTGCAAACAGTGAAGGCCAAAAGCAGGGACAGACCGGGGTGTGACAGGCAGTGGCATCAACCCCCAGGGACGAAGATGGCCAGGTGTTCCCTGTGGCTTCTGGGGAAACTGGAATCGTATGGCACTTTGGCCTTTAGTTTCTTCTTGAATAAAGGTGCCGTGGGCACAAAAGCTCCCGACGGCGGATTCTGACGGCGGAGCTGAAGGACAAGTGTAGCTGCCACTCAGGCCCTGGACTGGCCTCCCCAGACACTGAGATAATGAAATCCCTTACTTGCTGAAGTCCAGTTTGTCTGATTTTTGTTCCTTACAGCAGCGTGTGTTCTGATATACCGCCTCATAGTAACAATTGCGAGGTGAGTTCACATGTGAAGAAGCAATAAAGAATAAATGGCACCTGTCTCCATAGCAACCACACATAGTGCCCTTATTTCTGCCATTCCCCTCCCCCAGACCCTGAGTTCCCCCAAGGCCTAGTGCCAGTGATGGCGAACCTATGACACGCGTGTCAGAGGTGACACGCAAACTCTTTTTTGGTTGATTTTTCTTTGTTAAATGGCATTTAAATATATAAAATAAATATCAAAAATATAAGTCTTTGTTTTACTATGGTTGCAAATATCAAAAAATTTCTATATGTGACACAGCACCAGAGTTAAGTTAGGGTTTTTCAAAATGCTGACACGCCGAGCTCAAGAGGTTCGCCATCACTGGCCTAGCCTGTGCCTTGTCCCTCGTGCCCTCTGCATGGGCCTGGTACAATGAGTGTGTACGACATGAAAGGGTATGGATGGGACCTAAAGGTCAATTTGATGTGTCCCAGGTGCAAGAGTTGACCTCTGGGGCATTCTTCCTCAAGGCACAGAATGACCCTGTGTCTCAGCTCCCGGATGGTCTCAGTGGGGCTGCTGGCTGGGAACCTCCTGAAGGGCCCTTCCGACTCCCTGCTTCTGCTGCAGGACATGCCGCGGCTCCCGGTGCGGATTCGGCCAAGTCCAAATGCACCTCACACTTTCCTGCCACCTAGTCCAGACCTTCTCTGCCCAAGGGACTGGGAGAAGCAAGGGGACGGCCGTTTATGACAACTTCACATGCCGGCCCTGGTTTATACACACTTACAGCTTCATCTCCACAGGGGCCTGCAAGGAACATGCCTTCATTTTACAGACAGGACAAGAAAGGCTCCTTAAGGTCTAGGAACTTGGTTGCTTAAATTTACTACTTAAATGATGGCAGCGGGATTAAACCCTGGTTGATCAGCCATCTTACTGCTGCACTATCCATTCCCTCAACATTAAGCATCTTCCATGTGCTGGGCCCCAAGCTAGAGGTTAGGCTCCAAGGAGAGGCAAGGTCAGCATCCCGACCCAGAGCATCCTGCCACAGCTCAGGACCCTTATCCTTCAGTTCCTTTGTGTTCCTGGGAGAAAACTGCCCCTTTCAACAAAATAAAAACAAGCCCAGAACTCCAGGCTGGCCTTCGGTGGGGTATCTGCGTGTTAGGAAGGGTGGCTGGAGGGCATGGTCTGAGGTGTCCCCATTTCTGCCACACCACCGTGCTCTGTGTGTGTGTCGGGGGCGGGAGGGGGGGTCCCTTTGAACTAAAGCCCTGGCCTGGAGCTGGGGCCGGCACCTGTGCTCCAGGAGCCCGGGCTGGCACGGGGAGAGCCCGTGCCGTTCATCAGCACGAGCCTGGCGCAAGTCCATGCACACGAGCGTCAGCTGGCCTCTGCTGCCGCTGTCACCACTCTTCCAGGCCGTGCTTCTACGGCAGAACTGCTCACCTTCAGCTTAGGGTCCTACGAGGGGTTCCTTTCTACCCCCACAAGGAACACTGTTAGGGGTTACATCCTCCAGAGAAACACCTCAGAATGAGACCTTATTTAGAAACAGAAACTTCACAGAGGTAATCAAGGTCAAATGAGGTCATTAGGGTGGACCCTAACCCAATAGTCTGTGTTCTTATAAGAAGGGGGCACAGGATGTCGTGAGATGATGTGAAGACAAGGAGATACCAGAGGTTGGAGCTGTGCTGCCACAGGCAAGGAGCATCTGGGGCCCTCAGAAGCTGGAAGGGGCAGGAAGGACCCCCCTAGAGCGTCAGAGGGAGCATGACCATGCCTTGGTTCGGACTTGTGATCTCTGGAACAGTGAGGTGATAAACGTACAATTTGTGGTACGTGGTTCTGCAGCCCCAGGGAACTGCTCCATCATCTAACGGTCCCCAGGCACCCCAAATCTTCCGATGCAGGTCCTCTCCCTCCCAGTGCCTCCTTGTTCTGTTCTCATTTCCCTCTGAGGACTGGCTGCTCCCCTATAGACCCTCCCGCCCCCAGTACCCTCACCACCCAGCACGGGCCCCACCTGGAGAGGCGCCCGCATCTCGCTCACTCTCCTCTGATGTCCTACAGCTGATCTTTCAGGTGTGAATGCATTTGTCAGGATGGTGAACACATGATGAACACAGTGCCCAGGGGCCGACGGACCGCCGCAGAGTGGAGTCCAGCTGGTGGCCGAGAAGCAGGGGGGCATCGGCGCCCCTGGGACAGCCAGGCCCTCGAGGTCAGAGTGGGAAATGGTTGAGTCAACAGGGATCCAGCCTTTCAGTGACAGTGGGATTGATTTCACAAACACGTCGGTCCAGTGTGCTGTGGCCTAGCGGAAAGGCCACTGTCCCACAGGATGAAATCACGTGAAGCAGCGAGTCCGACACACCCACCCCAGGCCCAGCCCAGAGGCAGAGAAGGTAGAGGAGGTGAGGAGGCGAGCATGGGCATTCCTGAATGGAGGCAATGGGTCCTTGCCCAGATCTAGAACCACATGAAACTGAGACCAAGAGAAGTCAGAGCCCTGCTGCCCCGGGAGCTCTGGAACCTGCCCCGCCCCCAAGGCCTCCCCCCACCTGCCAACCTTGTCTGCTCCCCGCTGTCTTCCCTTCACGCGGGTTCTCCGGGCACTGGGCATCCGCTTGGCCTTCCTGGAAGCCCAGCTCGGGCAGGCTTCAAAGACAGCAACTGCAGCCTTCACCCTCTGGCCGCGGGCACTGGGAGGGGCGGCACAGGTGGCCCCCACGCGCAGGTTCAGCCCAGTGAGCCACCTGAGGAGAAAGAGTTCGGGGAACCCTCGGTGCTGAGCTTTCCTGAGGCGAGGACCTCGGGAATTTGGGGCAGTGGGGCCTCATGCCTGAGAACCGACTCCAGAGAATCCTGGTTCGGCCGCTCACCGATTGTGACCCTGAGCAAGTCACTTCCAACCTCACATCCCTTCTCTGTAACAAGAGGGCAGTCGTGGTGATAAACATGCAGGGCTGTAATGGGTCACACCAATCTATACACGTAACTAATTCAATGTAACTGCTAACAAGCCGCCGCCATGAGGTGGACACGATTACTATCAGCCCCTTTCAGAAGAGGGGTGTGTGGCCCAAGTCAGACAGCCAGACAGGCAGGACTCCAGGTGACGGTTGCTTTCTCGTGTAATTATGTGAAGCGCCCACGAATATTGATGAGGTCCGGCCCCGCTGGGCTGGGCAGATCTCATTCCCACTCTATGGATGAGGGACTCGAGGCTCAGAGAAACCACCCCAGCTGTGCCCTGGCAGGACCCCGCTCCCCGAAAGCTGCTCAGCCGGGCAGACACGGGGCCCTGGAGAGCCAGTGGGACTGGACTGAGAGCAGCTGGCGGGTCCCGCTGGGGGTCCAGGTGGAGGTGCTCACCTGTGAAGTGGGAGCAGCTGGCAGTCGCAGCGGAAGGGATTGCCGCTGAGGTCGACCAGCTCCAGCTGGCTGAGCCCGGGCAGGGCGGGCAGGGCCTGCAGCTGGTTCTTCTGCAGGTGCAGGCTCTGCAGCCGGGGCCCCAGGCCTGAGAAGGCCCCGGGAGAAACCTGCAAGGAGGCGCCAGGCCCTGGGGTGAGCTCCTGTCAGGCCCGGGAGGGCGGCCCCTGCTCCCCTAGCACAAGGCAGTGGGGACCCTCAGGTGGCCAGGCAGGAGGCAGCGCCTGCGTGGAAACGGAGGTGCCTCTGACGCCAAAGCGCTTGCCCTTTGCAAGTCACCCGGTCCCGGTCCCGGTGCTTTCTGCTTTGCCTGAGCCACCCCCACCCCCATCGCGGCAAAGCCCCTTGAGGCTCCACTGCCTCACAGTGCACAACAGTAGGGGACCCTGAGTCCCCGCCTCCTCCCTCCTCGGAGCCCAGCAGTGCCCTCCCGGGCAGGCCTCTGTGTGGCATGGATTCGGATGCTCTGTCACCCACACCCAGTTCCCTGGGCAGTGTGGTCTGGCTTATCTAAGGGTCCCGTGCCCAGCCTCGGGCCTGGCACTGCCGGGCTGGCAGTGTTTGTTGAGTGAATGTTCCCTACATAGGACCAAGCTGCCCCCCCCCCCCCCCGTGCCACCCCCTGGGGTCCCCTTTCTTCCGGGCAAGGCTGTTTTTGAAAAAGAGCTGCAGGGAACTTGGCCACCGGGCGGAAAGGGCCCTCCCCAAAGGGCCCTTGGCGGGTTCCCCTTAATACTGTTGCTTCCTGGGGGCTTGCAGCCCTTTTCTTGTTTTTCTCTTTTTTTTC